ACCAATAAACTGAGCATTTTGTAACAAGTAATAAACATAGGGAGCAGTATGCAAAAATTATCGGATAGATCGTCGGGGTTGTCCGCGATCAGAATAATATCCATAATTTGCGACAGCACGAAAGTATTTGTTAGCAAAATCAATAAGATTGTATACAATCGATACGCTACACGTTTATATATCGATGTCCAGGATTTCGGCCGCCAACAACCGCATATTGTTAGCACTTTAAAAGTAAAATCTAACACATGTATTTCAAACTCTCCCTCTTCAACATTACTCATTATATAAAAAAGTGAAGAATAATCGATACCGTGCTTCTTTCCTCAACAATTTAAATTAGCTTTTAGCAAAGATACTAGTTGAATAATAATTTGATTAAAAACACTTTAAATAAATAAAAATTTGTTATGTGAATATAAAAATTTTTCAATGAAATCTTCGGCATTGTCGACGTTCCGAACAATGTCCAAAAATTTTTTTCTAAAATATCCCAAATAAAAAAATATTTATATATATTATAAAATAAATAATGCCGCTTGGATAATTTTTCTTTATTTTTCTAATAATACTACGTGACACGAGTACTAATTATCAATATTAAATGTATAAAATGTTTGACATCTTTTTTCTTTCACACTTTTCCCTGATTTCATCTCGTGATGTAAATAGCACGTTGATTTGATCCATATTATTATTCCCGCATTTTTTGAAGTAAATTATAAGTAGAGTACGAGGTTTTGAGTAACTGGAAATAATTTATAAATATTTATGATTACGATTCAAATATATTTAATAGCAAATATCTAGAAAGCAGAAATTATACAAACACCCATAAATGAATCAAGGTTTATGGGAATAATATAAGCACTGGTAATTTGAATAGGCACGATTGCTCGTTTCATTATTATCATTAGAGACTTTTTTTTACTTTTGTCCAGTGATAGCCATTCCATTTCGAAAATGTCATCGACCAGTTGACGACTCTACTGAATTGCATAAAATGTAATGTATGTGTCAACAACTTTATTTATACAAAAAAAAAATAAGTGCATTATCATCTTTGTTATTAATATATTTTTTAAAGTAAATATTATTAAGATATACTATTATAAAAGTAAAAATAAGTTCTGTACCTTTAGCTTTACTTCGTTTCCATACCAACAATACAAAAAGATTTGTGTTAACATACACATCATATATAATGTCAGTTCTATAAACTTGGCTTTCACTGTTGTTTTAGTTAATTGATAAAGACTGAAGCATACTATTAACATACTTATCATAAATTGTATGCTAATAATTAATCTAAATGTTGCATTTATAATAAAAGCAAGCCTAAAATATATAATAATTTTGTTAAAAACATATTTTATTAATATAAATGTGATAAACAAACATTAATATATTAAAATAATTAACGTACATATTTGTATGCACATTAAACAAAAATAAGAAATTTGCAAAATTTATTATTCAATATCAGACCAACTTAAAAATATTATAATGTTGTCTCACGCAATCGGGTAAGATATTTTTAGATGACATAATTTCTCTCAAACGATAAGCTAAGATTTCAATCTGACAGGAAATATGCACCAATAATCCACAAATAAGAGTATCGCAAGCAACATTTAGGAAACCTCCGGCACACAAACTTAACAATTGGTGACTGTATGTCAGACAAAACATTGTCGTTGATGAGTAATTAAACGGCAACCATGCTCTGTACGTTAATTTCCTTTTTTTGAAGTTTAAAGATAGAGATGTCAACACGATGAATGAGACTGTTACTATTGCAAGATATACAAAGCGCCAAGTATTGGTCCTGTAAATTAACTGCAGATGTATACATATTTTTTTATGTTTTTGTGAATTCCCTATATAAAAAAAATTTAACGTAGCATTTTTTTCAAAATTGTAAAATGAGACCAAACTTTCCGCAATTTAAAATAAAACTGTGCCATAAAAAACTAAATGATCTAATTAACGTAAATAAATAGTTATGCTATGATTAAAAAAATTTATTTAAATATGTTTAAAATATAACATAAAAGATATTAAATTTATTTAAACCTTAAAAAATGTATTATAATAATTACATTTTAAAATTAAAATATAAAATTAATATTAAATAAAAATAAAATTGAACAAAACTTTCGATGAATTTTTATAATTTAATATTATTTTAGTAAGTAGTGCATTATGATTATTGTTTTTTGTACTTACTCTATGTGTTTGTCAAATTTAGACAGGATTTTTATTTCATTTGATTTCAATGGTTTACATGGTTTCTCGGTTAGTATATTAGTAAACTTGATAATATTTTTGCGATTTGCTAGCATACTAAACAATTTACAACAGGAAATTAACATAGCAAGCAATACAAAGAAATTATCAGAAAAATCATCAGCATTTTCCACGGTCATGATTAAATCCATAAATTGCGACAATAAAAAGGTATTTAATAATAAAATCATTATGATTGAATATATATGGTACACTATGCGTTTATGTAGCGATAACCAGGAATTTGGTCGCCAGCAACCAAATATCGTTAAAAGTTTAAATGTAAGTTGAAGAATATGCATTTTTTTTTTAAAGATGTTCTTTGATATTGTTCGTAAAGTACGACATATATATATATAAAACTTAATAATATATATTTATATATATCTGAAGTAATTTACTAGTTTGTTGAATGCAAATTAATTCTTTTGAACAGTTTTTTTGTTCTTAATAAATATTATTTATGTATTTCATATTATACCTTAAAAAGCCTCTATTTATTATAATTACGAAATTAAAATGGTATATATATATATTACATATTTGTTGTAAATTAATTTAAATTATCTAAAATATAAGGTCAAAGAACATTTTGAGCGATAACTGATAGGTATGGCACGTGATAAAATCTTTGAGAAACTGATGACTGTTGACAGTCTATAGTTTCACCGATCGAATTTCTTAGATATGGATGCTCCCCTACAATTCTACAATTCTCCCCTTTGTTATTTCTTTTAAAATGGTATCTCTTGCTAAATAATTTTTTCATGAATCGAATATGCAATATAGAAACAATACGACGGCGACATAGCATAATTACATCTTTAAATGCAGTATTATCTGAAGGCAAAGTATAAACAATACAAAACTGAATCTTAAAGAATTGAACAGACAATTACAATCTATTTTTATGAAATATTAGTACATACAAATTATGCCTCCATATATGCTTTCTATGCATGCTTAATTTCTAAATACTTAAATTTTCTATGAAGTTAAGACTTTCTTATCTAGTTATTACTATAAAAAATTCTAGAACATCTGGCTTTTTTCTTTTTAATTTTTTGTATCCGTATAACAGTAGCATCCAACTCGTATCACTAATTCTAGAAGGATTTACAAGAAAGACACATATTAAGAGATATGTATAAATGGCAGAAAAAACATTTTGTAAAAATGTTTTTTTTTTAAGTTAAGCATTAATTATTAATATTAATTGCAAAGCACATTTTATACCAGTCCTTCGTGATTAATTGATTTTATTAGTCTTTTACATTATTATTGCTTCTGAGTTTGCTGAAATAAGTTATAAATTGAAATAATGTTTTAAGTAACTAGAATGTCGATAACGTAGCGTAATAATACTTTCAAATAAAATAATCTTCTAAAAGAACAATAAATAGAAAAAAAGAATAAAATTATTAAATATTAAACACTCATTTTACTTTTATAAAATATTGAAATAATTAAATTACTTGAAAATATTCGTATTGTATATATTAGAGAAAGTTACAGTTTTTGAATAAAATAAAGGCGGATAAAGAAATATTTTTTTATGGTTCAATTTTTTGCTGATGGCGTTTCTTGCTGAAATAAGTAGCAGTTTAATGTAACAAAAAAAAATTAAATAGTTTAATGTGTAATTCAGATTTTTGTTTTGTTTAATTATGGCTATGTTATTTCGCGACTTTTATTGATTTTTATTTATTTACATTTATTAAATTAACAATTGATTGTGAATAAAATAACCATCAAGATATTATATAAGTAATTTCATTTTTACTCCATTATTCCTGCATTTGTTGAAGTAAGTTGTAAACCGAATATGAAGTTTTAAGTACCTGCAACAAATACAAGCTTTTATAATTTAGATACACGTGCATTAATAATCTATGATCTCGCCAATAATGACTTAGAGACACATAAACGCGACCTTTCATGGTATCATTTTTTTTATGGAGTTAACGTAATTATAATTTATAGATTTTAATTCTCCA